TGTGCAGTGGGGAGTTGGGAGTGCGCCATTTACATGAGCCCACATAGTTAATAGGAGCAGAAACCTAACAACTATACCCAGTGGCCTTGGTTGCAAGGATTACATGAGATGATGCAAACATAGTGCTTTAAGCAGTGCTGGCACTTGGTAAGTGCTCAATAACCATTGGCTATTATTAGGGCCAGAGTAGAAAATGTGAAGGGGAAAAAGGCCAAAGATGGTCTTCAATCATGTGAAGAAGTTTGGACCTCACCTCCAAGAGTATTCAACATAATCAGATTTGGGTTTATTTCAAGTGGAAATAATTGATATATATATGGCTTTGGAACATCACTATTAGAACTTTCTGTAGTGACGTAAATGTGTCCAATATGGTGGCTACTATGCCAAATGGCCTTTGAGGATTAGAAATGTGGCTTGTGTGACTAAGAAGCTGAATCTTTAATTTTGCTTAATTTTAATTAATTTACATTTAAGTTGCCATGTGGTTAGTAGTTAGCATATGGAATTGCACAGGCATGGAGTTTAGAGTCAAGAACTCAAGTAATAAATAGTAAAATCTGACAAGTCAAATCAGATTAGTCTAAGGGAAATCAGATTGTTTTATGATGGCTACTTTGGAATAAAGATTTATCTTAGAGAATCCCTAGTTTGACCATAACAGCATATCAGTTTTATTACATATATTAAACCTGTTTTGAACTTAATTTAGCTAACTTCTAAGCACAGTTGATTAAGTTAAATTTACTCACTGTAAGCTTACATAGTTCTTCCTCCAATCATAAACATTTTCTTGTGTGTGGGTGTGAGGTAGGGAGACTCTCTTGTTTTCTAGAATTTCAGTATCTGGTGAACAAATCAAATTCATTCTCTGTATATCCATCGTAATGACTTGAGTCATAGCTTGTTTCATCTTTCTAGACTAGAGACCAAATGTTTTCAATCTGTCCACAATATAATTCTCTTAAATCCATGATCATTCTAGCTACTTTTTCAGGAAACCTAAGGATTTTTTTTCCTTGAGATAGACAAATAAGAATTAAAAAAAAAAAATCCATTCTAGCTACTTAAAACAATGGCTTGATACAAGGGTAAATTTTGTTTTGCTTTTTTACTACCTTTGGTAGGATGTTTGGAGCCACAAAGTATCAAGGTATAGCAGGTTGAATGGTGGCCTCAAATATATACCCAAATCCTAATCCCCACAACCTGTGAATATTACCTTCCAGGGAAAATGGTGTGATTAAATTAAGGACTTTGAAGGGTTTATCCTGGGTCATGTGGGCGGGCCCTAAAGCAACTGCATGTAAACTATAAAAGATGGAGGGAGTTTTCAGACACACCCAAGAGAAGGAAAGGAAACGTGAACACAGAAATGGACAGAGTCTGGAGTGCTGCTACCATAGACGGGAATGCCAGGCAGCTATCAGAAGCTGGAAGAGGCAATAAACAGATTCTCACCTAGAGCGTCCAATGCAAAGGGAGCATAGCCCTATGGACAAGCTTGATTTCAGCTCACCAAAAACTTATTTTGGACTTCTGGTCTTCAGAACTGTGAGAGAATAAATCTTTGTTGTCTTAAAGCCATCATTTGCTAATTTATTATTACAGCCACAGGTAGCTAATACATGTGGTCAGCAATCAAGTCTTCAGTAAAGACGAATGCTCTGTGATACTAATAGTCCTAAATACCAACCCCCTTTTGATTTATAGAACTACAGAAGTAGGGTGGATTGTTCTCTAAGACTGGATTCTCTTCCAAAATGCAGTTATACATTTGCCTATATGAAACTTTTTTTTTCTTTTGTGTCTAATTTTTCAGAATATACTCTTGTGAGAAAATACTAGAATTGTCATCTGGCTCTTCCAGTGATGACCAATGCATACCCTATGAAAATGTCCCCGACACTGAGGGTAGGGACTTCAGTCATTGCTGGGTTCCCAGCATCTAATAGTGCCTGGCACAGATCATAAATGTTGCATCAATGTGCTATTTGTCCATTTCTCTATTGCCACTTTTTCCAAACTTTTTAAAAACAGCAGAATCCTTTTGTTGAATTTATATTTTATAAAGAACATCAATATATAAAATAGATACAAGTAAATCTGTTCTTAGTAAGGAGTGTGGAATCCCGCAATCCTGCTTACCTGTCTGTAACATTACACATTAATGTTGTAGCATATTATACATTGTTACAATATTCACAGAACTCTTAAATCTGGGGTTCAGAAAACACTATTTACATAGTTCTTTTCAAGAAACAAAATTTATATTTAAGTAAGAAGTCCGTTTGGGAGGATTTTTGGGTTTCTGCTCATGAAATGAACAAAGTGTAACAAATACCAGGGTAACAGAATCAGCAGTTCTTTAGGAGCACAACAGGGACAAAGGTTACTAAGAAATTATGTTAGAAGCCTGTTTCTGGGTTTAGCCACTAAGTAGGGGGAAGCAAATAGCAACAGCTTTGGAATTTGGCAGTTGAGTTCAAATCCTGGTCTGCCACTCACTGTATGTATAACTTTGAGTGAATCTCACCTATAATATGGTGATAATCCTTGCATCTATATAAAAAGATTATTGTAAGGATTAAATGAAATAATGAAATAATTACTATGCATAGGATGTTTCACTATAAATATTCAATAAACGATAGTTGTTTTTCACTAGACTAGATGTCAAAGTTCCCTTGATCTATTTGTCTCTTTCTCTAAGATCTTAGTGTTTAAATTGTTCTGTTGTATTATTCTTCACTTTTGGCTATTATGAACTTGGTAATGAAGGCTATGAAAAAAAAAAACCACAAGAAATTTAGAGGCTGGAGTCTCCGTTTTGAATAAACTTCGTTATTTTAAAATGCGAACAATATGAATTAGTATTCTCTCTGCATCTCATTGTTGGTATGCTAAAATGAAGGCGTGCCACATGGATGTTGATGATTACTTGACTATCTGTCTCTTCCCTACCTCACTGCAAGACTCATTTCAAATTCCTAAGGTTATGCTTGATGACAACTCATTTTCTTGTTCTTCAATCCATTTCTAAATTTGCCCATGAACAGTAGGCATTACAAGGGTACTTCGGGAGCCCAGGCCTCACTCTCTCTGCTAGACTTTTGTTTAGAAATTTTAATTCTAACTATTTTTGTGTACATTTAAGCCAGCAGTTTGAATTTTAGTCACACTTACCAGCCACTAGCACCGAAATGCAGCTTTTTGTCTTTTCTCCTTAAAGAATGTAGAACAGAATTAAGACAAGTAGTTATATACATTGGAAGTCTACCCTTTTGAGACAGGGAGTTCTCTTAAAGGTAAGAATAACTCTAAAACATGCGATCAGTGATAAATGTATTTTTACATCAAGATTTAAGCCCACGGTCTTGGGGATCTCACCGATCCATGGCTTTAAACTTCATCTGTGAAGAGAACTCTCAGGGTTTGACCTCCAGCCCAGACCTCTCTTCCAAATTCCAGATTTTATATGCAACTGCTTGCTTAACAACTCTATCTGGATGTCTAATGGAGATCTCTAACAGCTCAAAACCGAGCTTCTCCCAAAGCCACTCCTTCCACAGTGTTCTCAACTGTGGCCAATTGCTCAGGCTTAAAACTTGGGTGAGCTTTAAATCTTCATTCTGTCATGTACCTCACGTCTATTCAGTGAACAAAATTTACTGGGCTGACCTTTAAAATATGAAGAGAATCCGAATATTTCTCACTGCTGACACAGAGCAGAGATTGGACTTGGGTTCTCTCAAAGCTGACTGTGAAATCGGCATCCCTAGGCTGCCTCTACATTCAAAACAAACAAACAAACAAACAAACAAACCCCAAACCAAACCAAACAAAAATACTAACAGAAAAAACCAACAAAAACCCAACATCTCTTTCGTCTCTTGAGCAGACTATTTTGCAGGAATGTGGAGGGAGGCTGCTTACTACAAAGACAGGCAAAGACCAGACCAAACCAGCCTGCACCAAGATGGACCCCAGCGCTGACATTTCACCAACTTTCCTCATTATAATACTAAAACCATGCCTGGGGGTAGAGCCTTAACACGTTATTTGGATACATGATGCACCAAGAAGCATGATCTTTAGGGGCACAGGTGCGAATAAATCCCTGCCTCTACATGTTGAGACATCACTCTTTACCCACCTGAGTTTCATCTTTAAAAAACTCTCCATGTTGGGGAGTCAGCCTGAGGGATCTTTCCTTTGTGCTGGAGCACAAGCCCCTGTAAAGCCCTGCCTAGAACTCCCTTTTGGCCTCTTCTCAATTTCTGTTGCTTAGACAGCCCATGGGCCCACTAGGGTATCCTTACTATCCTTGTCACTCTTGTCTCTCACCTGGATTTGCTTCCTCACTGGGCTGCCCCATAGTCAATTCTAACACTGAAGTCAGATGCACCTGTTCATATCACATCACTTCTCTGCTTCAAACTCCTTTCTCAGAGGAAAAGCCAAAGTCCTTAAAATCACCTACCAGGGCCTCCATCAGCAGATTTCCCATTACACCTTAACCGACCCTACGCTCCTCTTTCCCTCTGCACAGTCACGGTGCTGTTCCTTTAGCAAGCCAGGTACACTCCCAACTCAGGATCTTTGTACTTATCCTCTGCCTGGCAAGCTCCTCCCCCAGTTCAAGTCTCTGATCAATAGTGACCATGTAGTCACCATGTCTGTGAGATTTTCTTTGCCCACCCTGCTTGAAACAGAAACCTCCACCCCACCCTAGCACAGCTTCTCCCCATTCCCTGAATTTTTTCCCTAATACTTATAATACAATTTAAACCTTATCAATGAGATTACAAATTCCACGAGGGCATGCCTTTTCCCACTGTTCCAGGATCTAAGCATATGTAATCATTTAATAATCATCGTTGAAAAAAATGAACTTAAAGTCATCACCTCCCATTCCCATGTCCCGTCTTTACTGAGTGATTTTAATTGAAGTCACACGAAGTTCTTGGGTTGGAAATAAAAGCAAAAGACCACTACACATTCGTTTGTCAACATGTAATGCCCTGGGTTTATTTTGTGAGAATTCTATCACAATTTTTCCAGGTGGGATTAAAAACCTTAAGGATAATGTATGCCATTGGACTGGGCATTCAGACTTCGGTACTGACAAAGCACTAGTAGTAGTCTGTTAAGTACCATTCTCTTCACAGAAGAGAGGTCAAATATTTCCAAAGGAAGGCACCCGATATTTGTGGTTCTGGCCTTGCAGCCTTCTGGAGAATCTTAAAAGGAAAAAAGCTGGCTGGCTGTTTTTAGAAACTGGAATGATGATACACGTACAGCAATTACTGCATTCTTCTCCCTTATATCCTTTTTGTAAGAACAAGTAAAGAATGAAGTCTTTTAAACAATTCGACAATAAAAAAGTACAATTTTTTTTTTTTTTTTTGCTAAAAAAAGGGCAAGACAACATAAACTCCAGTTGTAAGGACTCCATTTGCATACTTGATTTAACACTTTTTGGTGTGGAAGGAAATGGGACTACTGGGCTGTTTGTAGAGCAGCAACATAACATTAGTGCTTGAAGTACCAGAAACTGCCCACAGCTTTGTGGGCAAGTGGGGATGGGAAGATTCAAGAGACTTCATTTTTAGCTTGTTACTTGTCCTAATGATAGTAGACCAGGAAGATCCCCATTTAACAGTACATTCCCCATTTTTTTTTAAAAACTGATGCCTTTTTTTTTTTTTTTTTTTGTAAAATTCTGTATGTATGTCACCGTTTTTTTCACATGATACACAGAAAACTCAGGGACCCAGAGGGGAACCAAGTTATGTTATACCATTTACAAAATACCAAGGAGTCCACAGCTACCTAACACATTTACTACAGCACAGGAACCAATGAAGGTACAGTGTACAAAAAACTGTAAACACGGCACAATAAATAGATAAACAGCAGGTTCCGCACCATGCACATGATGTGATGACACTCCATCTCTATACAATCTCACATCTCACACTCTTTGTTGCAATTTATTTCCCTCCCACCCCCCACCCCCAAGTGCAAAGCATCACGAATGAACAGTTCTGTATTCAAGTAACATATATACAAGGGTATTACAAATATGCAGTACTGTACAGATAATTGCTGTATTCTTAATTTACAGATGTTGATTTTCTCCTATTAACAGTAAGAAAAGAAAAACTGAAGCATGAGAGATGAGCATTGCTGTCAAGTCCCCACAGCTGCCACAGAAACGCATGTGCTGCATTCCGTCATCCCTTGCGTTCAAAACGCTACTGATGCATAGCACCGAGTCGAGTCCCCAGGCTGCAGCTCGGCTCCTGAGGAAGCTACGTCACCTCCATCGCTACTGTGTTGTCTGCTATGTTGTTCAGTGCTGGCTTTTCTGATTCATGATTTTCCCTGTTGAAACAAAGTTCAATTCAATTACCCATCAGCAACAAACGGAACAAAACAAATTCAATAAATCAAGACTATCTTCCCTATAAAAAAAGGAAGCATTTTTAATCAGAGGAAGAAATGTGACTCTCTGGGGCTAAGACACAAGTAGAGGACTATGGGCTCTTATAGTGTATTATTAGGCATATACGACCGGAAGTCGGGCTGTTGTCCACCATCAATTCCATGGTCAACTATATGACCAACAAAACTGTAAGAGCAGGCAAGCAACCCAACTGTCAAAAACATAAAGAATTCCCAATTTAGCCGATAGTTTCACTTTCCTCTTCTTCTAAACCTTTCACAAAAGTTTTGAAAAAGGAAGAGATGTGACTGAGGTTCATTCCTGTCAGGACTTCATATGTGCCATTGAGCAGGACAGCTACTGAGCTGGCAATTAGAAGACCAGGGTCATAGCCGTTCTAGCATCTACACTGCTGAGCATGCTTGGAGAAATCCATTAACTTCTCTGGATCTCATTTCCCTCATCTTTAAAACAAAGGGACTAAAATATGAAATGAAATGAAAACCAGGTATTATACATTTAAGAACTATAACTGATTAGTTATGACTAGACACAGAATGCTAGTAAGAATGGCTCTGAATGGAGCAGATGATGACTATTAAGCTGAGAAGCAGAAAGGGATGCATGGGTTTGGAAACTTAAGGCTACTGTCCGTTGCTGTAAAGCCTGCTCCTCCTCCCTCCTGGGCCACTCCCGGCCAAGGAAGTCTACCTATCAGCCTGGCATCCAAGCTGTTCCAAAGTCTGCCCTCCTCCTACCATTCCAACTTCAACTACTAGCCTTCCCAAACCTCTAGATAAATTAGTCGTTAACCTCTGAACACATCTGTGTTTGTCAGATTCTCTTCTTCTTTTCTGCTCAACCAAGATCAAATCTGATCTTATTTTGTAGAACTTTCCCAGAATACCACTGGTGTGAAAAGATTTCTCCTTATATTGAAATTATAGCCATAATTTGACAAGGATATGATGCTTTGTAACACAGGAATGATTTTCACTTATTATTTACAGTTACCATTACTTAATTTTTACACTTTTATGCTTGTCTTCTAACTAAACTAAAAATCCCTTGTCTTTCTGTTTCCCTCATAGTACTTTGTAAATAGCAGGACTCTAATTACCATTAACAGTTAAAACAGGAGAGCCCCATCAGACATTGTAAACCATCTACTGAAACCCAACAAGACAAATTAGCTAAAAAAATAAGTCTGAGTAAAAGTTGACCTGGCATTAATACTGTAAGCCTAGGCTTTACATTATTTACATTATTAAGAGCAGCTTAGCTTAAGCCACGGGTGGGTTAAATCAATTGTTCACATGAGAAGCTACGGAAGAAAACAGACAAAAGAAACATTCTATTCTAAAGAGAACTCCCCCCACCCAAAGGTGGGAAATGAGATCACTGTAAACTATCATTATACGAAGACAGTGACATCCAAAGCACATATGCAACATTCAGTACATCATTTAATTAAAATTCTCAACAATACTGAATTATAACATTTATCTGTTTAGTTCCTGAATAAGTAAGGAATTCTCATCTATCCATTTTTAACGTATATAAGGAAAAGAACAAAAAGCACAAATAAGTAGAGAGCACTGCCAGAGGATTTAAGTCCGAGCTCATATTCTGCAAATATTTCAGGCTTCAAGTAACTACTGACCTTGGAACTGAATCTACAGAGGACGAAGATGGAACCTTGGAGACTTGACAGTTTGCTGCGGCAGCCAGCTTTAAGGCAGACGATGGAACAGCACTTAAAGTCCTAGGTATATGTCGCGCATTTATAGGGGCAATAGAGTTTACAGTGGCAACTGATGAAGGGACAGTTAATCGAATGTTGTTCCCAATCAGAACCTGAGTTGTTGCAGAAGTGGCAGCGGTTACTTGATGACTCAGTGCACTGTGGGAACTTGAAGTCTGTGTCATGTTTGAAGGCTGTAACAAAGCTGAACCTGCCGTCGATGGACTGGTGTGTACAAGTGCTGTTGGTGTAGTACTACTGAGGTGTAAGCCCTTGTATACTCCTAGAGAAAAAGAAAGAAGCACTGAAACAATGTACAACTTTGCTGTTTATTACAGATATGTTACAAACATCAGAATAATTTAGATGTCTTTGCCCTTTTAAGATTTATTTATTTTAGAGAGAGATTTATTTTAGAGAGAGAGTGCGCGCATGTGCGTGCAGGGATGGAGGGGAGAGGGAGAGAGAGAATCTCAAGGAGACTCCCTGCTGAGCACGGAGCCCAAGGCAGGGCTTGCGGGGCTCAATCAAATGACTCTGAGGTCATGACCTGAGCTGAAATCAAGAGTCGGATGCTCAACCAACTGATCCACCCAGGTGCCCCTAAATGTCTTTATCTTTACCTGAGGCTGGAAGGACGCCATTCACCCCAATTCCAAGCACCACATCATCCTTCATCTTGAATCCCATCAGTTGTTCTGATGTCACCAAAGCAGAAGCAGCAAATTGAGCACTAGCAGAATCCAAAGTCTTGGAAACAAAACCCTAAAAAGAAAATACAAAACAAATCTAAGCATTGCTTGGTCTAAATGAATTAACACTAAAGCTACAGGTAATCCACAATCAGTCCGAATATAAAGCAAACCACTGAAATATATTCATTTCTTTTGATAGTCACAAATTTGAAGAATGCTCAAGCGATCTAAGAACTCAGACATGATGAATTTTGGTTTTCATATGTGACAATATGTAATATGGACCAGTCTATCACGAAAAGAAACCTATAATGTGGAAACAGTAAACCTCTGACACAAAGTGTCAGACAAGAAATATGCTAGTAAAACATTTCAGTGATTTGCAAATACATAAAATGAAAAATGAATATGTACGCTTCTTTCACCTAACTTACACATATATACATATATCAACAAAGGCACCTTTGGGACAGTAAGAAAACTATCCCTTTAGAACAGAAGTAACAAAATATCGTATCATAACTTGGCCTAAAAATTAAGAGGCTCCTTGAGTTTTTTTAAATGAATTTTTCCTCCAAGATGCTGAAATTCAAATTTCAGTCTTTAAGCCTTACGTGTGTTTAAATGGCAAGCATTTATCATGCTTGAGGTTTGAAAGTGATTTCTTTTAATAGTAAAAGAGGTTTAGTATGATAAATACATTTTCAAATGTATTTTACATTTTAATCAAATACATTTTAATACTAATTAAAATATCCAACGTAATGAGCTGGGTGGGATTATATATTAAAGAGGTAAATTCACAGTCTATAGGATAGACTTGGAAGACACGGTCTTGATCTCATTTAACTATGCTTTTTCGTTTTTACTTTTTAAAGTAGGGAGCAGAGGCAACAGCTTCCATACTCACCTGTAATGTTCTTTCTAAACCCTGTATAGAATGGCTATGATGTAGATTCAGGCGAAAGCCACTTTTCTGCTGGTTAGATGCAAGGTTCTATGACAACAGTTGGTAATTAGAGATGAACTCTGGTGGGAAACAATGAGGGATAATCATAAGACAGACAAATCCCTCACCTGTGCAGTGGTGGTGGAGGAATTACTATTTGCTTGCTGTTGCTGAATTTGTGCAAGCTGCTGTTTCTGCATTAGTGCCAGTTGCTGTTGGTGTTGCTGGTATTGTTCGGCTGTAAATGCTGAACATAAAACAAGGAAAACACTTTATAAAAACGCACAGAGCACACAAGTCTTACAGTACCAAAACAAATTTCAGCATTAAAAAAACTTTTGTGCAAAATTAAAGTATCTGACAAAGGCTCATGATCCTGCTAAAGATCACTTCCATAGGAAAAATTCCACATTTTTACAACCACATATAACAGGAGTGGCTTGAGTTCAAAGCAACACGAAATTATAAACTTCCTGAGTTATAACAACATAGGAAAGAGAACTCACTTCTCAAGTTTCAGAACCATTATTTTTGTAAGCTGTGACACTTGTGCTAGACAGTGTAAAAAGGTAATCCAGCTTTTTAAATCCACTTATTTGGAATTCAACTTTGCACTGAGCTTGAGAAGAAATCTTGATAGTTACCATTTGGTTTCTCGTTTACTCATATTACTGTCCCAATGCATTCAGATGATCCCTAACAGTTCTGTGTATCAATACTAATTGTTTGACCATTTTTCTAATTTCAGCCATTACATACATTCCCTCTACATGGAATATAAGGTTGTTGGTTTATTACCTTTATTTTATTTTTTTTAAAGAACTCATCCTTTAACAGGAAGAAAAGAGGCTCCAAATGTTAAGGTTAATTAATTTTCCCCACCCAATTAACCCACCTGGAAAAAATCCAGTCAATAAGAACGGAGTTGTTTATGTTGATTTACTGTACAGAATGATGTCTGAGGAAAGACACTGTGTTATGCTACTTATGTTTGTCTATGGAGAGCTCAGTTCTAAAAAAAACAAACAAAAAAATGTTCATTTATTACCCCCCCAAAAAGTGTGTGCAGTTTTTAAAAAGGAAACCTTTTTCTTTTTCTTATTTTTGCCAATTAAAAAAAGGAAAAAAAAAAAAGGGCACATACAATCACAACATCTGACTTTAAAGGCTTCTTTAAGAAACCTGTGATGTTTGGGTAAGGATTATTTCAAAACACAAAAAAGGTTATCATGCATCCCTGAATACCAGGGAATCTATAAATCATGCAATGCAAATTTCCTCAAACTAAAGTTTAATGTTTTCAAAACACTGTCACCTAATTTGTTGTCTTTAGCTGCATTTTAATGATTTAGTTGACAAGAATATCACTTTATCACATTTTATAATTTTCACTCATAACTCATAAAGCATCTTTATCTTCCATGATACAGATTTTCTGAGTGGTACACCACTACAAAATGTTTAGGTAGAAATTCTACCATATTCTGAATGGATCAGAAAATTATGAAATGATATTTAATAGAACTCCAGAAATTATTAGTGTTTACACAGGCTTTACACTTGAACTAAGTTCTTGGGCTACAAGACCAAAAATGTAATTTGTTGTTATAAAAACTTTAGTTGATATCCGTCCTTTGATGCGTTTCTTTCCCTACTGTGTTGTAATTCTCAGATCTGAATACTAAAGGGAAGACTTTTATTGACAATAACTTCTAAATATTGACAGAAAGTAATTTTGTGTCAAAATGACCATTTCCATATAATAGAAATGTGCTGAATCAAAATTTGAAGAAAATACAAAAATTAATGTTGCCCTGATTCTTTATAATAAATATAACATTTATCTATGTTTTAAAAAAATCCATAAAAAGCAACTGTTTAAACCTAAAGATCCTTAGTTTATTAAATAGTTTTTCTAGTATGTTTTTGAGATTTACACTTTAACTTCCTAAGTTTGAGTGAGCTGCCTAAGTCTTGAATTTCCTAGCAGGGCACGTTCAGTAAATTTTTTAAAAAAAGGATCATTCCTACAAGGTCAGGTCATTATTTATCTACAAAAACAGTAATTTAGCATTCACTAAAGCTCTATTTACAAAAAACTCCATTTATATGAATGAAAATACTATCTAGAACTTGGTGTTTGTGTATGCTTTATTAGCAATAATACATTAGAAACTTGAAAAAAGTTCCAAACATTTCCTCCCTAATTTAAGTAAACATTTTAATCCTTGGTCTGAGGGTCTTGTGAAGTACGCTTTTAAACAACTATTAACTTCTTCCTAATACAAGATTTAGAAATAAAAACAGAACTAATACTCATCATGATTTTAGAACATTACTGTCAACCTACTGCTTAGGAGTATTTCTATTCATATGGAGTCTAATTACAAAGTTTTCCACAGGCATTTTTCATAAATGATCTAGAGTAACTGTACATACCGAGCAACATATAAGCTGAAAATTATGGTAATAAAATCCATGGGCCTAGGGGCCAAGAGACCTTGATTTTTTTTTTTAAGCTCCCATCTCTATCATAACTAGCTGAGTATACCTGGGCAAGTAACTAAACTTTTGGGGGCTCAGTTATGTTCATCCAAAATACTTAGATCTAAGTTAGGTGATCACTAAAGCTCTTTTCAGCGAAGTGATGCAAGGATTTTATATTTTTTCTGAGAAATAAACCTCCAATCCAAAAGGCTGCCTGAGTAAGCTGGAAAGCCTGGACAAAGGTAAGGTGTAAATTTGGGTAAATACAATCTGAACTGGGGTTTATACTGTTTTTATACAGAAAACGAGGACTTCAGATGGCATTATAATTCAAAGTCTAATCAAATGCTAAGAAGAAATAAATAGAAATGACCATATTTCCCTAATCTCTATCAAGGTAGAAAGTGTTATGGTTCTAGGTCTACTGCCAGATAGGGTGTGGTAGTCAAGTTTGCAATTAACATGAAGATGGACAGCATGATTTCATGGACAGATGACCAAACCTAGAAGCAGAAGCATTTTATAGAACCCCAAATTTTTAGGTCGGGAGGCATCCTTGGTGATTTCCTCCTACAACTTCACATTAAAGATGAAGAAACTTTCAACTGAGGTCACAAAGATAGAAAATAATAGAAGGGAGGGAACCCACCCCCAAACCATTGAAATTTTAAATATAAAAAGAAACCGACCAAAGTTTTAGATTTAATATTACTTACAAGAAATAATTAAACTTTTAATGTACCCACCAGTATGAATCAAGAGCTTAAAAAAAAAAAAAAAAAAAAAAAACCACACCTCACATATATAGCACCTGACTAGGTGTCTAGGTATGGGAGAAGAGTCATGTGAGGGATGTGACTAAAAATTTATTCAGGATGCTTCTAAGGAAAAAGAGGAACCTGTAGATTTAAATTTAAGGAGGCAGCTTTTGTTCATATATGGACAAACTTTTAAACGAGATTCCCAACTCTAGAATAACCTGATCTAGAAAACTGTTGAATCTCCCCTCCCTAAGGTATCTAGACAAAGGTCAGAAACTACCATTGTTTGGTAGTTGCTAACAATTCTCTGGAGTAGAAATTCAGGTGAAGTTAAGATGTTACCAGTCCACTTGGACAGGAAACTACGGTGAGGCACGCCAACACCTAGAATAGTTCAGGCTGTTGCCCCTTAAGTCACATTCCCACAGCTGAAGCAGACCAACGGATAATCAAAGTGGGAGTAGGTGAGGGTGACAGGTACTTAGAAAAAAATTAACAATCTGAAAATCCAGTTTGAGAAGACAGATTTAAGATCACTAAAATATACATTGTTTTGTTAGTAAAAAACAAAACAAAAACCCAAAACCAAAACCAAAAAAACCCAATAAACCTAAACACCTATTATAAAAGATAACACTTGATTAGAAATTTCTTTGAGCAGTACATAAGTTCATAGGCAGAAAATTATTTTAATACAGGAAAAGGTAACTTTAAAGAAATAAATATAAAATAAAACGACTTCAGAGAGAATTAAAGTATGATCCCCTAGCCAGTAAGCTTGAATGATAGTTTTGAGGTTCATAAGCACTTAAAAGACACCCAGAAATCCAACCTAAAAACAAAAATATGGTGTATTTCCTTAGATGGCCAAACATGAATTAATCTGAATTCATCTGGCTGCGAATTACTTGAACGTGAGATTATCTGTGGTCTAATCTTGCACTTCAGCACACAACTATAGAACTATCAATTCTACTACTATGGGTGCTACTTCACATCCTGCTAAGGGTGTAATTTTGAATTGTGAAACACACTTGGATAAGGATACGGATTTATAAACTCTTAACCATGAAAATACTCAATGCTTGAATCTAGAGTTCCTTTGAAAACTGAATGTTACAAATTTTATGAAGTAGAATGTATTAAAGTAAGCTACAAATCCTGAGACATAGAAGTTATCATGCCAGCTACATATATTCTATTAATTTATGAAAATAAACCAAATCTTTATTAGAGATATGTGAGCTTAGGAAAATTACTTAGAACACTAAAGAAATCTCAGTGGGAACTGGGAATTCAAATCCTGAACATATAATGGTGGTTTAAAAATCACTTTTCTATTTAGTCTTTTCTAAATTATAGCGTTCTAATTAGGAGAAGTGTATTAATTCTGACATGTCATATCCCCTAAGCTTAAACACAAACAAATGAATAGTCACTGAACAAACACTAAATTTTCAAAGGTACTTTTATAGATTAAAAGAAAAAAAAAAAAAAAAAAAGAACCAGTAGACTGTATTTGGAAACTGTCCCAATCACATATTAACTCAAGATTATTAAAATATAATACATACATAATTTGTTCATATGTACTAAAATCTAGTCCTAGAAATTCTAAATACACGTATATTTAAGTCTCCCCAAGTTCCTCAACATTGCGTCATTCTGCTGTGTGTTATCCAGATCAAGCACTCTAGCACCTGACTAACCAGGTTATCCATCTGGCCACACTATGCAAAATGGCCAAGACTGGGAAGCAAGCAAAAAAATTCTGAGCACCAGAAGCTACAAGGTTGGTGTGTTAAAGTTCATGCCCTTTACTAAAAATAATGGGCTCTTGATATCCTCATTTAGAATTTCCTATTTGAAAATGAGAAAAAATGGGCTCTTACAGGTGATATTTAGAAAAAGGAAAATCAGTCCAGAGGGCATCACTATGCCATAGCATATATATAAATAATAATATTTAAAATAATGACTAATAAAAAATGGCTAAATCAAAGTATTTGGCTTAAGCAGCAGACAAGTAAGTATGTTTCGACTGACTCCTATCTCATATAGTGGTTAGGTTCTAAAGTCAGTATCGTAAAAATTAAGCCTTGAATATTCCTTTAGAGTCTCCCATGATGGGTGTATCTCTTTCAATAAGCACAGCAAAGACCGTTTTTCCTCTGGTATCAGACTAGATCAGGTTCTGTGGCTGAGTACCAGATGACATAGTCAGGCTTGTATTTGGGGGCCATGCTATACAGAAAAATTTATCTTTAAAATTACAATTACACTGATGGAGGTGCTATGCCTAACCTCAGAATGAAGCAAAAATGGAGGCACAGACACTCTGAGAGCAACAATAACAGATTCACTTCTGCCATTCCCAGAGTGGCCCACTCTGGACAACGTACTCTTGCAGTAGCACTGCACTCAGAACTCTGTGTAACTTCTGAACTGTTAAAATTTTATTTTCTTCTCCAGGGACCTATAGCTGAGTTCACTTAAGTTAAATGTACATATGATAGGGCCTCTACTATAATATACTTTGTAGAGCATAAAGAGAAGAGCTTTAGGTTTTCGGAATATTCACAAATAGGAAAGAATAAAGCATTACAAAATAGCAATCTGTAGGCATCTATTCTCTAAGTATACAAAAGATCTAGTAAAAATTAAGGGAACACTGAAAACAATTACATGCAACAAAAAAACTGATAAACCCACTCTTTAAAGGTTGTATCACATTATATGGGGGAGGAAACGATTAAAAAGAAAATCACACCATTACTAAAAATTGTTTTTCAGCTAAACTTTTGGTAATACTACTAATTCAATGTTCACTTTTTAATATTCTTTGGAAAATACAAATCAAGTAGTTTCATAATATCGATGTTTACTTACATAGGACAGCAAAACAGTTTACATAAAAAAGATCATTAAAAGATCTCTATTTTTTTTTTTTAAGATTTTACTTTTTAGAGTAATCTCTATACCCAACGTGGAGTATGAACTCACAGCCCAGAGATCAAGAGTCTCATGCTCCACTGACTGAGTCGCCAAGCACCCCTAAAGTTCTCTACTTTAAGTGGCAAGAATATGGGGATTGATGAAACATGTCAGTTTTCTACAAGAAATCTCAAGGAATTTACACAGCTTAAATATCTACCAAGGAAAACATATCACAAGTTTACACTTTTAAAATCTCTAAACTTGCATACTGTATGAATCATCCTTCATATTGAAAAGTGCTTTATTTTGATTTTTAAGACTGTAATAGCTAAGAGAAACTGACTCTCCAAAGTATACACTCTGAAGTTAATGGGACTATCCTAATCCATCAGGACTCAGGATAATTTAAATTATCTTCTAGTTGATTTCTGAAATGTGATTATTTTTCTTATGAGCTAAAGACTTAAGTTTCACAGAAGTACTTGTTTTCCAAACACAAAGTAAATTAGTTTATGGAAGCTTTTCTGGAGATCTTTAAGAATAAGCAGCACATTTTGTATTTATTATAAGGTTTAACTAGAGCCTTACCAGATAATTAGGGTGACACAATAAGTATCTTTATAGTCCCTTCAAAATCTGTGTTTAAATTACCTTTACAAAAATCTGTGGTAACATAATTTTAACAGTGAATTTCTGTAGCCTACAAGCCTCAAATAACACAGATCTATGCTTTCAAAGAGAAAACTAAAATTTTAAGAATATTTAAAAACAGCATTTATTTTAGAAACATTTCACAATGTAGTCATAATGCTAAAGTAGATATTATCTGGAAATGTTTCCAAAATTATAATAATCCTAAAAAATTAAAATAATCCTTTAAGTATTGTTCCCTGAAAAATTAGTTTCTTTCATAAATTATTCTGCATTACTGTCAGCAGATAAGGCTTTTAGATATCTCCTAACTTGCTGGTCTACTTTTAAACAGTTTAAATAAAAGACTAGATTAGTGTCCAAGCATAAAATAGTCATAATTAATGGCCCATTTTCTTTTCGTACTCTTTGAAAATATAGCAGCTGAATTGTGAATTGTGGGTTCACAGACTGTATCCAGGAAACAAATGTCATACATTAAGTAGTAATAAATCACCTTTGCATGTGGGTGTGTTTAAGTGAAAACACATGTACAAACAGAATTCAAATAGATACTTAACCTAGGTCCTTTTTTTCTCATTATTTTGAGAGAAAGGAACTTTTAGCCTTAATATAATAAACCACATATTCAGAAAATGGATGAACCTGACATTTCTATAGAAATGTACACCATAACAAATAAACATACCAAAATGTGCTGAACCACTGCTACTTTTACTTTGCGTGGAGGTACTGCATGTCTGGGTCCCGGGTTGTGCTGTTCCTGTTCGATTTATACTCCTAGATAATTTTCTACAGGAGAGTTCGTCATTGTCACTGTCATGTAGGGATGGTGTCCGAGGCCTAAAATGCCGCCATCTACATGATTTGATATTGACTAGTATCTGACTGAGGTCTTTAGAGAAAGATTTGTCCGAGGTATTTGTTTCTGAGGTATTGGCAAACTGATTGACTGGAGAATGTTGTGGAGAGGAAAGCATTTCCAAATCCAGATGGCGAAACATACTGTCATAGTCTGAGTGAGCTCTGTCCAGTAAGACCCTGTTAAAAATAAGGCAGGAACATATATGTAAAATAGTTATTCAAAAATTATATAAAAAAGACCCTCCCAATTCCCCAAAGCCATAAGCTGTAAATTTGATTATTTCAGTATTTGGCCCTATTATAGCTACATTCTCAAATCTTTTTTGTAAATTCTCAATTTCTGATAAAAGTTCTTTTACTTTATAATGATCTGATTAAATAAGAGAGTAATTCACCTTAAAGAATAAGGTACACTATTCATTTTACATTAGCAAGTGCCTTCTAACAGTTCCTGAGTTGGTCTATCAGTAGAAGTTACTGATAAAACATGAGATTATTTTTCTTTCCAAACTGCTTTTGAACCAAAGATTTTTATTTCCATTACAAAGCACCAAAACACTTTCCAAATATCTGTTCTCTATTAAGCAAAACTTTTTTTTTCTTTTTTTTTTTGCAGGGGTAGGGGAGGTAGAAGAAAAGCAGTAAAAGGTTATGTGATCTTTGGGATATCTTATGCCACTAAAATTTCTTATCGACAAAATATTTGAGATCCACTACTCTAGAAGATATATTTTTATGTTATTTATATATTTATAAATGATTCCATCTTAAAATACTAGAACTGACTAATGCTACATTGAATAAAATATAGCCAACATACAGAATTTTCACTACTATTGATGTCAACATAATAATGGGGGAAAAGCATTAAATAAAATGTATTTCAGTGCCCAGACAATTCTAAACTAATGTTTAGGTGATTAAAAACTGCAATTAAGATTTGAAAAATGAAAGAAACATGTATAAGCCATAATTCACTATAAATTACGGCCTAAAGTTTCTTTCTGAAAACACCCTGATATTATGTTCTGCCTTTTTTTTTTTTTTTCACCTACATGAGAGTATCTTTCTTTTTTTCACTTTCATGTGCTCTGTAATTCCTTCCTGCCTCCCACACAAATTCTCACATAAAGGCATATAGAGGTACAGGAGTTCTATCATGTTTAAACAAAAGAAGAAGAGTAATTAGATCCTGATAAACTGGGATGTCAAAGTCAGGTCATGCATGGATCCTGGGACCTTTTTTTTTTTTAAAAGATTTTATTTATTTATTTGAGACAAGGAGAAAGAGAGAGAGACATACACAGCATGCGGGGGGAGGGGCAGAGGGAGAGACAGAGTATCTCAAGCAGACTCCGTGCTGAGCCCTGAGTGTGCAGCCCCATGTAGGGTTCCACCTCACGACCCAGCAATTATGACCTGAGCTGAAACCGAGAGTCAGACGCCCAACCAACTGAGACACCCAAGCGCCACATTCTGAAGCCTTTTCACCGAGGATTTAAACAACTTAGTGTACTAGTTACATGACATTTCTTAGCTTATTCAACCCTTTGTCCTAATATCTCCCAGAACTTCTGAAACAACTTTCTGCAGTTTTTTTAAGCATTTCAGTCAAAAATCAGTTAAGAATAGAAAATGGAAACAAATGAGCATATTTAGAAGGATTCCCTCTCTTTAAGCTCTAGATTTGATTACCCTATTGTCTATGTCCCTACTGTCCCTATGCTAGGAATACAGAAATACTTACCTTCCACCACGCCCAACCCGTCTTCGTGCAAATCCAATACACCTTTGGGGTACGGTGAGGGTAGTTAAGCAGTATCTATATCGTACATCCCCTAATCCTCCATCTTTAGGACTAGTCCAAGGCCAGTTGCCAGTTTGGTCTAAATGAGGCTTAAAAAAAAAAAAAAAAATCCAAATTATTTTAGTTTGTCAGTTAAAGGTGAACAGTTTGTTATTTAAAAAGAGAACTTGAAACTTACAGCATAGTACTGACAGCCTGCTTTCCTACGGAAAGCAAAAGGACCATCGGGATCATTGTCTTCTTCAGCTTCCGAAGAGCCAGACAAAACCTTTAAAATAAAGTGAAGTGAGTCAAAACGTGTGACTTCCTCCATTTCTCCTCTATACTCACAGAGAAATTCGTTATCTTTACCTGGGAGAGAGGTTCTTCATCTGAGCTGGGAAAGTCATACTGATTTAAATCTTTAGCATTAAAGACTGGCAGTGCAGCAGGACTCGTCTGTTGAGGAGTAGCAGCAGCAGACGATGGTAAGACTTTGGGCTTCTTTTCATATTTACGTTTAGGTCGGATAAGATCGGCCTTATCTTGCTGCAATAAAGTCATATATGAATCAAAACTAGAAACCATGTTAAACAAACCTGTAGTTTGGGTTAAGTTTTAAAAAAAGAAGTTTAGAGCTGAGGGTGGTTGGGTTATGGACAATGGGGAGGGTATGTGATGTGGTGAGTGCTGGGAAATGTGTAAGCCTGATGATTCACAGACCTGTACCCCTGGGGCAAATAATACATTACACGTTAATAAAAATAATGAATTAAAAAAATAAGAAAAATAAAAAAAAAAAGTTTAGAGCTATAATGAAGTCATTCATACTCAGAAGACATGTAAAATGATTAAGTTTTGTCATCTTGTATTGTAAAATCTTATAGGTTGGTCTCTGTGAAACATGGGTAATGTTCCTACAACCTAAACATAATCTCATAAAATATTTTGTTGCAGTTGAAGTAAAAGAAGAGAATAGAAGTTCTTCAGCTTCTGAGATCCTGTAACTGCAGTTAGTAATTTCCATTGGCTCCTGTACCTTTTTCTTAATTTTCTATTAAAATTCTAGGAGAGAATTAAAAAAAGGGGACCTAGTCTTTATTCTAAAGAGTAATAAATCAAATTTGGGAAAATAATAATGCAAGTAATTTTACATATACATAAAGCAAATCTCAGATAACTTATAATGTGGAGGTGTTATGGGAAAAAAAAAGAGTAAGGATTTGGTAGCTAAATAATAATGGCTTTTCGGAGTGTATCTGGACAGTTTTAGTTGATAAAGAGATGAAATCATGAAATAGGGACAACAAAAGGATAAAATACAGAAGCAAGAGTGACTGAGCTGATGAACACAGTGCTTGTTAGAAATATGTATGCAGGGCGCCTGGGTGGCTCAGTGGTTAAGCGTCTGCCTTCAGCTCAGGTCATGATCTCAGGGTCCTGGGATCGAGTCCTGCATCGGGCTCTCTGCTCAGTGGAGAGCCTGCTTCCTTCTCTCTCTCTCTGCCTACTTGTGATCTCGGTCAAATAAATAAATAAATAAAATCTTCTTAAAAAAAAAAAAGAAAGAAAGAAAGAAAGAAAGAAAAAAATATGTATGCAGGTGACAGACAGCAAACAAAGGCTAGAAGAAGTATGAAGTATGCACAAGGCAAGAAAGGTTAGAGGCAAAAATGATACTTGTTGGGAAGAAAAAGATCACGGGAAGTTATCATGGTTGTGTACATATGCCAAATATTTGTATCAAGTTTTAGGTAGTTTATGGCATTATGGTTCTTTTTGGGAAAAGTAAATTATTGAAAAGTTCATCTATATGGTATCTATCTTTACAATTCCTACTGGTGCATCGTTCTGTCCTGAATCAAAAGCTGACTTTGCAGCATATTTCATGGTAGGGTTTATATGTATTTTTCTTTTTCACTCTAATGATAAAATGCCATTCTGTTATCAGCTACTATTATCACAAAAATGTTTATCACCTTATTTGCTTTGAATTCCTTCACATCCATTGCTTCTTGATGTTTAAACTGACTGCTATTAGTAATAGGGATGATGGGGATGGCATAAGTAGGTTTCATTGGCTGTCTCTGTGCCATAACCTCGGACACGATCTCTCCATTGTAGTCACCCAAATTATACCTGAAATAATAAAAAAGAAAGCTACAGAAGTTAAAGTTAGTTCTGTAAATTCTTAGGACTTTCAACACCTAACTGAGATGTGATTATAAATACCAAGTATCCTTAAGGTAAGATTAAACTCTGACAATTTGCTGAATGCTTATTAAAAATAAAGATTACATAATCTTTTGTCTTTTTCTGTTTCGTTTTTGGCTTATAGCTTTATCTTTGCACCATGAATAGATGACTATGGGAAAAAACAAAGGTTCGAATTTTAACTTAACAATTTTGGTGAAAGATTTGGTGGAGATGCTGAAATTAATGCCTAAAATGGTGCTGAAGAACTTTCTGGTAATTTGAATTATTTGTGCCCTAAAACTAATTTTCCTAAAATGAATTATGAGAAATGTAATAGTGGTTTTCTTTGGAGATACTGACTAGGATATAGGAGAGTGAGGCTTGAAATTTTCACTGTGTACATTGACAAATGGATGAATGTTAAGAGTATGGGACTTTTCCCCTCCCTTCTTTTTACTTCTGTTGAAAATCCCAGCATGTGTTAAAAAAAAAGAAAAAATCAGTACCATCTAGTGAGTAAATTAAAAACTTTAGAATTGACAAATGTCCTCTCCCTTCCAGCCTTGTTCTCAACTCAAATGAAGACAAAAGAATAAGAGTATACCTGCCATATTTTAATTTTACTGAATCCAATCAATTTTAATGAAAATAAAGAGAAACACATGTAAAATTATCCAAAGTGTATCATATCACACATATAACAGTCTCTACTTATTATTAAAGGAAGGTATTTTCTAGGGTTAATTGCTTAAGTACGATACCTTAATACACAAAATGCTAATGGTATCATACTTCCTGACCATATTAAAGTATACTTTACCTCTTTTCCATAATTTCCAGTGTTAAGTGCAATAGTTCCCTTTTACTCTTTTCTCTTCTTTTTATCATCTCTAGAATAGTAACAGCCCGACTCAGATCTCGACGCAGTTTAAGCATTTTTTCATAAGAGGCTTCATCATTCTTGCGATTCTGCAAATATGAAGTTGCTTTTTGTCAATAACATTTCCAACTAGTGGCATTCTGAACACAGCTACTAATATATAAGAATACATATATTTGTATGGCTGGTTAGAATTTAAAGACACTGAAAGGGAATATGGATCACCAGCAAATCAGTTTTATATGTGATTTTTAAAAAGTTTAACATTAAAATTTATCATTGATAGCTGTGCAATGAATCCAAGGTTGATTCATTTTAAATTAATACTTCTCTCATTATTTTGTATAGACAGTGTATTTAAATATAAATTAAAATACAACCTTCCAATGCAGAGATATTCATAAGTATAAATAATTTTTCTTACATCAAAAAAAATTACAAAAAAAGTTTTCTAAATTCACTTACTTTTCGAGTCTGCATTTTCTCAGTACGTCTTCTAAAAGCCACATAAGGATCATTTGTGCTGGAACCATCTCGCTTTTCTTGTTTTACTGATGGGATAAGAGATGGCCCCCGACAGTTTTTTCTCTTTTTAATCCAGTATTCATAAACTTCTCTAATTAATTCATCGTCTTCTTTTAGCAGCAGCTTGGCTTCCTGCAGACTGACTGGCTAAATGTAAAATCATTATGTCATTTTCATATAAGGTTCAAAAGTACTTCAAACTTTAATGACAATAATCAAAATAACAACTGTATCAACAACAGCAAACATGGAGTGCCTTATACATGTCAGTCACTGACACTTTATACACATTAGTTTAGTTAATTTTCACGTTTCCTGTTTATCATCTCTATTTTACAGAAGGGAAAACTGAGGCACAGAGACTTTTTTTTAGACTTCTTGCTCAAGATTATACAGGTTAGTACTGGGCAGAAATGGGATGTGAATTCATGCTTGTTAATTCCAGAGTCTGCTCACTTATCCTCACCCCCACATTATCCTGTTTCCATATATATGGAAACACATACTTATATATACAGTGAAGTTGTACCTGCTGACCACTGCCTTTTTCTAGACGGTCAATCATCTCCTCAAATTGCAATGGGCAGATGTCCATTTTCTTTTTCAGTTTATTCACAAATACTTCATCTTCAGAATCCAAATCATAATCAGGCTGTTCAGCATCCAAACTAAAAGCTGACAGAAGAAACCATAAGCAATCATTTACTATGTGAATCCACTGACAAAAAACCTCTCAACAGATGTCTGGATAAGAACAAAATCCAGACTTTCTAAAGAAAGAAGAAAGTTATGCTTCCCACATTTAAAGTTACTGTTAATACAGACATACAGTCATAAAAGACAATGGATGTGACCCCTTCTCCCATCTCAGAAACAAACTAGAAGCCCATTATTAAGAACATAAAGAGATTATTAAATACACTGGATTCAGCTGTATGAAAATTTGATAGCTAAAAATGATAAAATACCAGCGATTTCATATGGTTTGATATAATATAAAAGGTCTTTAAATAAGATTGTTTCTAGAATATTTAAATCCTACTTAACAGATTATATAACTACCTTACCAAATGCTTAGGGAATAGTATTTAAAGCTGAAGTGTTAGAAGCCACTGCCAATAACAGTAATAGCTATCTCTCAACGCGTGCACTTCTGCTAAGAGGGCTTGTTTTCGCATGACAATCATTGTCATGGTGACAGAAATGTGATGTATTTCTTATATTTGTTAAGATTTGAAAAAAAGGCCAAGAACCACTGCTCTACGCTGTATTATCAAATGTCAATTATGTATCAAAATTAAACTAGGCTAACAATAACTATTAAACAGCTTGATATCAAAATGTCTCACATCTTTCCCTAATACCTCTTAACTTCCCATCATCTCAGAATCCAAATCCTTAGCATTGTATGAGGACTTTTTTGACTTCATCTCTCTAGTCTCATCAGTACTCTTTGAGGTAGCAGTATCAAATTTCATATATTTTTCTTTTCTTTCTATTAAGTAATTTCTACACCAGCAGGGGGCTTGAACTCACAACCCTGAGGATCAAGAGCCATGTGCTCTACCAACTGCGCCAGTCAGGCACCCCTCAAATTTCACCTATTACATACAGCATGCTATTTATTTCATGTCTTTAGGCCTTTACATTGGCTGTTTTCTGCCTGCCCACCTAGCAAATGACTGCAAACAGCCTGACTTCAAGTCCTGTGGTATTCCTTCCCAACTGCCTCCAACTAGGAAGTCGTTCCCAGCCACTTTTATCTTTTATTGATGCTATGAACCCTCTCCCAGAAAAAGACTGTGTGAACATGTAACATTCTGCATAGATTACAAGGCATTCAAATATCCCTAAAAACTGTGGCACCAAGGTTAAATATTCCTATTCTAGATCAATGCCCTTCTTTTGTACTATTTTCTATACATACTTTATAATCTACTTGATAAATATTAGAATATGAGGGAGCTCCTTGAGAAGAGGCATTGTGACTTATTTATCTCTGCAAAGACAATAAACATGTTCATCTTGTATGCCAAATCTGTTTGCAGTACTCTACTGAAAAGCATTCTGATACTGCCTCTATTAACGTGGGGAGGAGGGAAGCCCTCAAAAAATATGCACTCATCCATTAGTGATATTTGTGATAGGTACAAAAGGGGACCCTTTGGCTACCTCAAACCTGCCCTCCCTGCTTCAAGTTTAACAAGGTATCTGGCCTACAGGAATCCAATAAATATTTGTGGAATTGAACATATTATATCATTGTTCATTTTCTACTTTGACCTATATTACACTTCTGTTACTATTCCTAATTAAAATATAGATTCCTTCATGAAAATCTCTATATGTTAACACCTCCACACCCATGTTTCTTACACCCATAGGCCCTCCAATGACTTTCCATGATCTGTTTTTTTCTGTTACTGCAATGTAAACAGAGCTTCTGCAGATCCTAAAGTAGATTAAATACTGTTTGTGAAATCAAAACATTTGTTTTTTTGGGTCCCTAACCAAAACAATTCATATCTGCATTGTTCAACAGAGTAACCATTAGCTAATTTAATTAAATTAAAATTGTACCTTAGTCAGCTTAGCCACACTTCAATATTAAATAGCTACATGTGGCTAGTGCTGCACCAGAAAGCACAAATTATAAGACATTTCTATCATCATTTAAAGTTCTATTAAACAGTGGTGATCCTGACAACCCAGAAAGCCAAACCGATAGGGACCAACTAGCATTGTTCTGCTTCTTAAGGGCATATTTTATATATGTTTAGGGCCTTATTTATATATTACTTGGCATTTTCCACTATAAATTTTTTCAGATCAAATTATACTACAAAACTTAATTATTCACAGAACAAGCTAACCTAATATCGCTTTATCTGACATATATTATATCACGAATGACAAGTCACATCCAACATACTGGAGAAGGCAATCAAGACTGGAAAGGAAGATCCCTAGGTTAGGGAGCTCAGTGTCTTTTCTAAGGAAAGTTAACAAGCACCTGAGGGTCAGACTGCTCTCATCTCTGCAAGAAGCTCTCCTTTTACAGATGTGCAAACACATGTAAGATCTTAAAATATGAGAACCAAATCTTGTTTAGACATAAAAATACTAAAGCCCCAGAAAAATGCTAACATGTAAAATTCACTTTAGGATTTCATTTGACCAAAAAAACCAGAGCCAATGATGAAAGTGTAATTTAGCTTCAGCCCAACCTGCCCCTTCCAAATAACAGCTCAAATGCAGCTGATAAAGATGTAACATAGCTATCATGGTCCTAGAAAGAGGAGAATCTTCAAATTTTCTGGGTCATGTTACCCAGTGTGTTCAAAGTAGAAAACAGGGTCTACAGAGAAATAGGCAAATGGACTGCATCTTGTAATTAAGGTCTGTCAATTAAAATGTGACCTAGCTAGCCAATAATTGTTTAAGAACAGGAGCCATAATATAGAAGCTAACTCTTTTAAAAATATTTTGATAGGGATAAACCCAGATATGTGTATGTTTAAACAAAATACATAGAGGAGAATGTATCTCCTCCATGTATGGAGGAGACAATACAGTAGAAAATAATTCTAAGCAAAAAGAACACAACAGGGCGCCTGAGGGGCTCAGTGGGTTAAGCCGCTGCCTTCGGCAAGGTCATGATCTCAGGGTCCTGGGATCGAGTCCCGCATCCGGCTCTCTGCTCAGCAGGGAGCCTGCTTCCCTCTCTCTCTCTCTCTGCCTGCCTCTCTGCCTACTTGTGATCTCTGTCTGTCAAATAAATAAATAAAATCTTTAAAGAAAAAAAAAAAAGAACACAACAGTACATACATTTAAGTTGACTGTTTTTATTATTTTTATGTATATATTTATTTGAGAGAGAGAGAGAGAGAGAACACAAGCAGGGAACAGCATAGGTAGAGAGAGAGAAAAGCAGGCTCCCTGCTGAGCACAGAGGCTGATGTGAGGCTCAATCCCAGAACCCTGGGAGCATAACCTGAGCTGAAGGCAAATGCTGAACCATCTAGGCCCCCCAGGAGCCCCTAAACTGATTATTTTTAAAGAAGATAGAATATTACACAACACAGTCCTTGCCCTTATGCTTAGAGTCAAGTAGCACAGATGAAATGTATATAAATATTTATGTAACAAATGCCATATGTAGCTCAGACTCAGTATGTATGTCTATAACACCAACAGTGGAAGGATATTTGGGCCCTAAAATGGCACAAATTGTGAATTAGAAATAGAATGTAATCCCTGGAACATATCCATAGCCTTTCTTTGTCTTTTAAGACACTGATGTTTTGAAGAATATAGTCCTTTCCTCAGAACATTATTATTAGGGGCGCCTGGGTGGCTCAGTGGCTTAAAGCCTCTGCCTTCAGCTCAGGTCATGATCCCAGGGTCCTGGGATCGAGCCCCGCATCGGGCTCTCTGCTCAGCAGGGAGCCTGCTTCCTCCTCTCTCTCTCTGCCTGCCTCTCTGCCTACTTGTGATCTCTGTCTAATAAATAAAAAATCTTAAAAAAAAAAAGAACATTATTATTATTCCCATTATGATTAGACTATGCATTCTTAGATGGCATACTGCATACTCAACTTTCTTAGACCTTCTCACGGTATTACGTCTAGAGGCACACAATGTTCATCTGTTCCTCACAAGTAATGATAATCTTCATTGCCAATTGAGAAATTACCTAATTGTTTCACTGCACAACTATTGTTTGTTGCCCCCTCCTTGTAACCGATGAACATTTGGAAGGAAGAGCTTAAGATCATGCAAATATCCTGTTCCTCATCAAAATTTCCTCTTATATTGAGAACACGCTGATGATTCTTAAACGATTCCATCTTGGTCACAATAATTGCAAAAATGATCTTCCAATTCCAGTGATCTCTTCATATTATACCACTCAGCTTCTGGCTTTGTACTACAGAAGTGGCATGAGATTACTCTTCACCATTTTTTATTATCAGTATGGACACCTGAATTCTTCCATTTTTCAATGCTTTACAATTCATTATTATGTTTAATTATTCTGTTGCTTAAATTGTCCCAGAACCAGCCAGTGGAAGAAATTCCTATGTCCTTGTGATATGCCTGTCATTTTTTTTTTTAAATGGTTAATTTCTGACATAAGAAGTTCCAGGTTCATCTCCCCCCTCCCCCGCCCCCAGGTTCATCTTGCACCTCCCCTTCCACAGTCCTGGAATTAGCCATTACTCCAGATTATTGGTCCTATTTAATGGAGAACGGATTAAAGAAGAGGTGGTAGTTGTGTTCATTGATACTGAATAATCTTGCTTCTTGGCTCTTCCAGTGGACAGAGCTACAAATGTGTGTGTGTGTGTGTAAGTGTATATATATATATATATATATATATATATATGTATATATGTATGTATCTCCACACACAGGCACATACACATATATAAATGTACATCAAGATTACCCTTTAAAAAAAGGCTTCCTTTCAGGATTAACAGGAGAGCCTTGAAACCCAAATGCAAAAAGCAGGGGGTAAAAAAATTACTCCCGTCTATTCTGTTCAAAACTGTTTTGTCCTTTCTTCCAGTATAAATAGGAAAGAAGTCCTATCTGTATAATCTAGAAGCCTTACAGATCAGCAGCAAAAGAGAAACAACATTACATGATCCTTGGGATCAGGAGATGCT